CACGACAAACTAACTAACTAACTAAGACTATACAAAAATATATGAGTTTGTGAAACATGAAAATGTAATCCAACTGGTATAAAAACTAAACATTGTTTGAAAAGATCTGCGAATAAAAACGAATATGTATTGACAGCAAACAGAAACTGAAAGAATAAGCAACTGTTTAGTTACATTTTAGTACATAAAGAGAGGAGTACAAGTATATGTACTGTCACCTAATTTATTTTCAGTATATAGTGCATATAAAATGAGATCTCTAATTGATTTGCCCGAAATTGTGGTTGGTGGGTATAATATAAACAATGTATGTTATGCTGATGGCACAGTCTTCATAGCAACAAGTCAGAAAGAACTAGAGAAAATGATAAACATTGTGGTGGTAGACAGTGGAAGAATGGGCCATAGTTTGGATAATGGAAAGACAGAAGTAATGGTGGTATCAACGAAAAGAATTAATCCTAAATGTGTAATAAAAGTAAGTGGTGTTACATTGGGACAAGTACAGCAGTCTGGACACATGGACAACATCAGATGGAAGATGCATTACTGAGATAAGAAACAGATAGACAAAAACTACAATTTATTAAATGAAGAAAATCTCTTGCAATATATCTCTATCATTGAAGGTTAGAACAAGAATTCTTTCTTGCTACATACATCTAGTTTTAACACATGGCTGTGAGTCCTAGACAATAGATTGGCAGGCCAAAAAATTTCTTGAGGCCTCAGAGATGTGGTTTTACAGGAGAATGCTGAAAATACCTTGGACTGCTAAAAAGAGCAACCAAGAGGTTTTGAAAGAGGCGGGAGCCCGTAGAAACTTATCATAAACATCAGAAAGAGACAGTCATAATTTTTCGGCCATGTTATGAGAAGAGAGAAAATGGAACATGTTTTGACCACTCGAATAAAGGGATAGAGGAAAACAATGAGAGAAGATTCTTGACAGTGTTGTTGCATGGCATGGAGGTGTGTCAGCACACGAACTGATACGTGCTGTAGGAGATCGCGGATTGTGGAGAGGCATGATCGCCCTCGCCAGTCGACAAGGCACTTAATGTTGATGATGATGATACTGATAATGATGATGAGGATGATGATAATGATGATGATGACGATTATGGGATCATGTAATAGGTTAACGAACGCAGAATGACGGGTGGGCAATTTAATAGGGTAACCAACCAACACTGGGGGTATTCTAATTGGGAACTAACATGGCTGCAATCTAATAAGAAACCAAACTCACACGCGGGGGGAAAAGGGGGTGGGGAAAGGGGGTTAATAAGGGAAACAAACCTACACTAGGAGCATAAATAAACATAAGGGGAACAAGCTTGTAAGGAAACCAACCCACGTTGGGTCCAATCTAATAGGGAAAACCAACCCACGTTGGGTCCAATCTCATAGGGAAACGAACCTACAGTGGGCAATCTGATAAGGAAATTAAACCAAAAAATTTGGGGGGGGGGGGGGGGGGGGGGGTGAAGGAGGGTCCTAATTGGGAAACGTACCCACACTTGGGAAATCTAACAGTTTCTTCACATTTAAGTTAGATCGCAACGGTTCTCTGCACACAGCCTGTTAAAAATCCATGACGTTAATGAATGTTGTTTTCACTAAAGAAGAACATCATATGTAGTTTCTTGAAAAAAATTTTTACGATATATATTTGTATCATGAAACAGTCTTTTTAGATTGTTGGAAGGTTTACTTTTATTAGTTTCAAGAAGTAATGCACACAATAACAGATTAAACAGTGCGTCAAAGAAAAATTACGTCATTTCATGATTTTCACGTGCAAAGTCGTACTCCTAATGACCTCCGGCTAAAATAAAACGTCGGTTAAGGTTGTTTAGTCAAATACGTATACAAAAATTAGTGTTGAGTTGTTGTGTCTTTTAGGTAGCTAATAAAAGCTGACATAGACATCAATTTCAAAATGAAAATGAGATGCAAATTTATAACTATGCAGAAGATTACCGTTTTGTTGTGCCAGCACTTCCTCAGGAAATCTAAGATGGGACATTTTTATTATTTTTTATATAGTGATTTTCACGACCGACAGAAACGAACACGATGGGCGCTTGGTCTGGATAGAGCTTCATATAGCCGTTGGATTAGACAGGATACAGAGTACACTCATGTTGAGCAAGGAAGGAAAATGAAAATTGACGACTTTGATGTAGATTTCATTAGACGTGAGATCTTAAAAGTTTTAGCAACAAATCAACTTGTTATTCTCCGAAAACTGAAATTAACATTGAAATTACAATCCATTATTGACATTTCAAAAAGTAGTCTGTAGAAAATTGTGTGTTCACTTTTATGAAAACTGTAGGTAGAAGGAATATTATTTGTGAAAAGCCACATTTGGTTGCTAGTCGAAGCAAATAACTGAGGCAGATCCGTGAGAGACGGATGCAAGGCTATGATATTTTATATTTGTACGAATCCTTGTTATTGCTCACCATACCTTTGATAAAGAATGGCAGTCAGTAAACGGTGAATAGTAAAGGAAAATTACAAGCATCAAAGGCCAGCGCAATGCGCGATCAAGTGAAAACGGCCTTATCCATGATGCTGGACTTATTTCCCAATCACAATGTAGGAACGGTAGGGACCACTATACTGAAATGAATGGACATTTTCAGCAACTAGAAGGAGAATGATCTTCTTCCAATTCTGGATAGACCATCGTGTCTAGTAATCGATAATGGCGCCTATCCTAATGCCGTATCAGAGGAAGTCAAAGTACCAACGACATCAAATACAAACGATCAAATAAGGACATAGTTAGTTTGCTAACGAAAAAGTCAACTTTGACGACACATATTTAAAGGCGGAGTTGTTGCAGCTTGTGAGGAAACAAATAAGACAAAGGTGTATCAAGTTGACAAAATAATTAATGAATACGGCCAAACTTATTTGCAACTCCTTGCATATCATTAACACCTCAACCCGTTAGAGCTTTTGTGGGCTAAAGTTTAAAAAAAAAAAGTTGCCGAAAAACAGTACATTTAAAATGTATGATGTTATAGTTCTGACATGTGAGTCCTTCTAAAAAATAGACATTCATTTCTGGATAAAGTGTGTTGAGTATGTGCCAAGAGAGAAGGACGAGTACTGGATCCGAGATGGATTACAATTGTCGAAAGCAGAATCCAGCTGCTGTCAATGCCGAAGTATGCGCGCTTATCGGTGACAAATCAGATGAGACAGATATAGTGATCTTCACAGACGGGTCCGTTATACGAGGACATAAGAGTGCATGGGCATTTACAGCTCGCTTTTCATGCAGAATACTTCAGGAAGCCAGGAGTGCCTTCTCCATGACCACCAGCAGAATGACGATGGAGGTGATGGCGGTGACACAGGCTTTCATGTGGCTGAGATCACAGGACTATTCCCGCCTGTGTGTGTGTGCTGAGTGATTCGTTGAGCATGATCCGGCGGGTTGAGGCAGGCTGGTCACGCAGACAGTGGTTTGAGTCATTGCAAAAATTCTCCTGTTTGTACAGTTACTTTCATATTCTTTCCAAGGCAAGCAGACGTTGCTGGTAATGAGAGAGCTGATAGACTGGCAGGTGCTGCATTAATTTAGGATGGTCGGCCCATGGATCACGCAGACATTGTCATTGCCCTTAGAGAGATAGGATTTTCTGAGAATTTTGGAAGAAACGTGTCCATATCACTCCTAAGAATAAGCGAATTGGGAGTAAAGATCGGCACAGCCAAACACGAGAAGCACACCGGACGCACACAAAGTATTTTTAACCAACATAGGACTTGTACTATTAACCGCACGACACTGATGAATATGTTGAGAGGTGAATCAGAGCGCCTATGGATGTGTCCGGAGTACTGTGAAGATAATCTAACTCATAACGCATAATTCATAACTCAACTCATAACTCATAACTCATCCAAATGTGTCAGCCATAATACAATATGCTGTTCAGTTAAGATACGCCGTGGGGTCTAATCGTGACTGAAGGGGATACTAACTATTGTATATTGGGGACATGTTTACAACTGAACAAGGCAGACAGACTGGCTGGTGGTTGGTTGATAAATGACAAGGCAGATGTAGTCAAGGCCTTTTCGGAACATGTAATGAAGGAAGAAGAGAAAATAGATTATCATGACCTGGAGAGAATGATTCACCTGGGTTTGATCAGAGGGCCTGGCCGGCACACTACACTCAGAGCAATAGCAAGATGGACACATACTCATACTGCCTCCAGTAGCATTAGTATTGTAACCCTGCGCTGGCTGCTTAAGATGGGGACAGAGCGCATGTGGAAATACACCGAGTGTTGTGATGTCTTTCTTGACTCAGCTCTACTCAACTCAGGTGAAAATAAATGACAACAAATAAATTTACTTCACCTATCAATGTATAATATGCCCGTGTTGCTAGCGTAGTTGCTTAAACCTGACTTTGCGGCGACCGGGTGACGAACTCCTTGTGGTCCGGGTTCACGCTCTGGGATAGGCAGAAAAGCCACATTTCTCCCACATTTACTGTACAGTGGTTCCCCCCCAAAAAAAAATCTAAGAAATTGTCTGGTATTCAGCATTCTTAGTATCTTTGGACTAAAGAATAACATTTTTTTTTCCTTTGCGTCATGGATATTCTAAGGTTGCATGCAAAACATCGTTGCGATCTAGCAGGCAGTTTGTGAGCAAATGGCTTGCAAGTGTGTTCATGAGAAGTTGAAGGAACTATAATAGAAGCTTTCTAGTCATATGTTATGTACATTTTGCACTTCTTGTCCTAAGTTCAACTGCAGTCAACCACACGTATTTAGGTCAGGGAATTAAGAGTATACTTTCAGAAATCCATATCTGTGAGGCCCCAAAGAAATGTCTACTGGTTGTTTAGGACGCAAGTTATACAATGTTAAACATTGTCTGGAAAGAAGGCGAAGTGCTGACAACAATAGTATATATATATATATATATGAATAAGAACATACCAGTTGCTAACTTACTTAGCCATCTCAGCGACATCATAGCCTGCATCTATTAGCTTCTTGCGGGCAGTGGTTGTCACGGCTAAGGTTAACATAGGATTTGATGTAGACTTTGCTTCTTCTTCAAATTCACTTTTAATTTTCTAGACCAGACAACAATAGATGCATACCATTAGAGTACCTTTGAATTAACAGTAATTTTGCATTCACACACACTCACTCACACTCACACATAAGCAAGCACACCCTCATGCACGCGCGCACACACACACTCACACAACACACACAAACATACACACATATTCACAAAGTTTGGACAGTTGACAGGCTTCGGGTTGACAAGAGGAGCATGAAAACAGCTCACTCACAAAAACAGTGTTCACTTTTTACTTATTTAACAATCAGCGGACTTTTCGTTGTTTATCACTTGCAAGAACCAAGCCAGTAATAAGAAGTCCTGCCACCTTGAAAAGAATGAGGGCTATAGCGGTTTCTATTGATGAAGTTGGTAGACAGCTTGCAATGACACACTCTACTACCCAAAGAATTTTGGAAACATTTCAGGCCACAGGAATTTAAAACACATACACCAATCAACACATGCCAACAAATGTGGTTTGAAAGAACGTTTAAGTAGCAAGGTAGCCGAGCTAGCAAACTGAGCCTATCAGCTCAAGGTATATGATGAGATTCCGCTTCGAAAAAGATTTTAAGAAAACTAGACATGGGGACAGCTATCAATATCTAGGCTCGATAATCAAAACATTGGAGATTATTCAGCCTAGGTTTAAAGGAGGATGGCTATCGAAATGCAAAGACTGATCAGTATTTAAAAATAATTGTCTAAGCACCATAGAGCACAGCAGAATCAAATTTTTGGGATCACGTATCCCTGCCGTAGCAATATGCGGGTGGGAGTCGTAGACAATCTCGCAATTATAAAGGAAGAAAAATAAGGACATTCGAGCTGTAATGCAACCGACAGATTCGAAGTATACCATAGGCCAACAGAAGAAAAAAAAATACAAAGTCCTGAGAGATCTAAATAGCAATGACAATTGACCCATAAACACGATCTTTTCTCATAACCATTTTTCAAATTCCACTTTGGATTTGAAAGAACAACAACGGAGGGTATTGTCACGGGGAAAAGGGGACAGGGCCGACAAGTACAAAAATTGACCCAGGACCTAAGAAAAGTTTTGGGTAGAAAAGTGCATGGGGTTGGAGAGCTGGCCAGGGACGGTTCAATTCAGGGGTATTGTAATGGGAGCTACGTTCTCTAGGGCGCCATGATGAACACCAGGATGGAAAAAAACGAAAACATAAAGATGGCTGACTTGACATTACCGACTAAATGCGTCGATTGGAAGGGTAATCTCCACACAAACGATAACTATCTCCTCTTCCTCACTTATCGACACCAGCCTAACAGTCACTCGACTCTCTTCAACAACGTTGGATTTGCATTTATATAATCTATTTGCTTTAATATTGTCTAGTTTAGCATTTTACTGAGGAAATTGGGAATGTAAAAGAGAGTTGCTAGGTGAAATAAAAAAGAGACAAGTGAAATATTTTGGCCACATTAAAACACATAACAGCATTGTAAAGATCATCCTAGAGGGAAAGGTTCAAGGTAGGTGAGCAAAAGGCAGACAGCGTTACAAGTGGGAGGATAACATCAAGAGATGGACGAACAGCAGTATGAGTGAGTGTACATCAAGGGCAAGAGACAGGGCTTGTTGGAGATCCATTGCAGCCAACCTTCATTGTGGAGACGGCACCTGATTGATTGATTGAGTTTAGCATTTAGCAGCGTTTACATTATTTTATTCAACCCTGACATTGTCTAATATGCCAGTAACAATACGATTGTGTTTTCATGAGAATAGGTTATTCAAGCTCCCTTTATTTCTTATGGGAGATGTCATCTGGTACACTTTCTGCTCGGTATACGTCCAAAGACGGGTTGAGGACGCATACCGAGTTAAAGTAGAGGATCATTTTCCTCGCATTGTGCATATAGACTAGACCTACATTTAATAGACCTATCGGCACCTAGAGGGTGATGTGGTTAGCCTCAAGTCGGCTGCATTTACTTTCCAGGACTTTACCTGGTTCCCCAACAAAATTGTTAAATTAAAATTATTATGTCACTTTGAAAAAATTATTTACACAAAAAAAAAGTGTATTCGTGACTGTGTAGGGGGTAATAAAAAGCACCCTTGAAAATTTTCTTATAAATGGGCTGTCAACCCCTTTTCCTAAAAGAGCCTGGGTGGGTGTAGGAGTCTCGTTCCCTAGGCATTTGAACCACTTATGTGTCTGGGTCCACAAGGTTAGGCCCAACACGAGGAACTCAGCATATTGCTATCTACTTTCTCTCATAACTTCTGATACCAGTAGCCGTTATGTAAAGCTATTTATAGAAGGTTGAATGGGCTCGTCGTCATCTTCATGGTACGATTACACTGTTAGGTCACTAGTTGTGGCCTGGTCAGTTCCCTTCATCTATAGCGGTCAGATACAATGGACGATATTTGTAAATATGTGGGTAATCAATCCAATCGCCCTAAATTATGTACCTAGGTCTTTCTAGATCTTTTACTAATATCGACTCCTCTACCGAGTCTTCTAGTGATTACCGCTCTTGGGGAAACCGGATACACTTTCTTGCATGACCGTACAACTGAATTTACTTCTTTCACTTTTGTAAAACGAGATGTAACAAACTACAAGAAAACAGCAGGGTACGAGTCAAAAAGAAGACCGAGAAAGACACGGGTAAAGGGAGAAAAAGGTAAAATACAGAACGGCACTATGGCATTAACACTAACTACGCTATTAGCAAAAGACAAGAAACTATATATAACTCCTTCTGCGACGCTTACCGACAGTTGGACAAAACAGAAAAAAAAAAAAAAACCGAGATGAAAAGTTGCCAGTACTATCTACTACCATACCCGCAACAGTTCTTGAAACTTTTCTCCAACGGACTTTGTGGTATTGTTGGCAATGTTGAACCATTCCAATGTTATACCATCCAGTTGTTTGGAACGAACATAGATTACGACATTTTGAGCGAACGTCCGCCTAGCGACATCATTTTCTGCTGCATCAAAGAAACTTTCTAGTAACCCCAACTCATGCCCGACAGACAGAAGAATCTGCAGCTTTGGATTAGTGCTCTTTAATGCGAAGAGATCCTTGTGCCTGCAAAAGTGAAAATTTAGCATATAATTAAAAGAACCTGGAAAGAAGATTTAAAAAATCCAAAGATTACCCTTATCAAGCCCTTGTCACATAGGGAGTGCTATAAAAGTTAAAACTTAGTTGCCTATGGTTTTGCAGGGTGTTGCAGAACCAATCCTAGCATTTTGTAAGCAGCTGTGGTTTTTCTTGTCAAATACACATTTAGCGATAGCCAATGCCAACTGAACGGCAAGCTCTCAATGCCACTGTCGAAACTAACGCGAGACAGTTGGTGCCAAAGCATATGCAGCTGGAATTAAAGCTCTGGCATAACGAAGAGCGTTCCCAGCCCCTCAGCCAAAAGCCCCCGATTGATATATTATTATATGGCTCTCAGCGAATAACACGGTGAATATCACGCTAGCATCCTGTAATCTCTAAAGGATTTTGCTGCAACCATTTTAAGCGTACCTGATATAATAATCTGTCAACATCAACCACCCACACTGTCCTTCAGTTAACTCGTAACTGCTTTGTCCAGCTCCAGTAAAACTGTTCTTTATGTATATACGGTTGGAGGGGGTTAACGAGAATTGTAGATGTCTGATTCTCATCAGTTAGATGTTTATCCTACAGAATGCAAATGTAGAGGGGCAACGTAAAAAAAAAGAAAATCTGTTCCCCTGGAGCTAATTATTGATCTGGTCTAGGTCATATACTTCTGTTCTAGTAGCTTCATTTGCTCTTTCAGTACTAGTCTGTAATTTATGATCCATTCTTATGGGGCAGCAGATCCTTAGTTTACTTAGGTCAACGTCTTATAATCAACATAATCCTTTCATCGCTATGTCTTTAATTCAGGAGAGACTCATTTAGCCAATGTCTTTACACAGAACATGTTTCTAGTGTGTGACCAGATCATGTGATAAGTTCAGGACCAGGTCTTTAGTGCAAGATCTAGAACTAAACTATAGTCAGTTAATCGACAAATTATCCTCATTCAGTTCATAAGTGCTCGGAATGCCCCCTTAGTAAATCCCGGTGCTTGTAGCGGCTGACAACACCAGTTCTGTATTGGTGTCATATTCTTCTTTGGATTTCTGAATAGTGCTTTCGTCTGGCCTCACCTCTTTAAATGTGGTTTTCTTGCAGTGTGATCCTGCTTGCAGATTCGCTTATTTCTCGCAAACGTCTTACTTCTCGTAAAGAATATGTGACAGGTCAACGGCTTCTCTACCCTTCATATTAGCTTTACCTGCAAGCTGATCAGTTTGCTCATTTTCTTGCATGCCTGTGTGCCGTGGTACAAACATGAAACTCACAGGTATCAGCCTCGCCCGCTTTATAGACTAAACCCACCGTCTTTGGATACAACCCATTTCCATTTCCCTGACCATATTCATTGAGTCCAGAGAAAAGCTCTGTGTCTCCAGTCATGGTTTGCTTCTGTCACGGAAATAACCTCAATAGTTAGACTACTTATGGTTGAGGCAACATCCCCAGAATCTTGCTGGAATCATGTCGTAATGAGATTGCTCAGCACTTTACCAAAGAAAATCCCACGAAATATCCATTACTGACTTTTGTGAAGAAAGTAAACACAGAACACAAACTGCAGTCTTCGCTAATGCAAATATCAATCACTCGCAGTAAATGCACAGGGCAGCAGCCAAACTTGCCAACACAATCAGTCACTGAGATGAAATGCAGTTCATCTATAGACGCAACAGTTACAAAAAAAATCAACAGTTGCACACGCAATTATCTGCATAAGGCACCAAGCATTCTCTGGCAACAGAACCATTTACATTTTCTGAAACTGCATTTCACAAGACAGACTACGTTGAACATAGTCAAAAAAGCATTCCAAACGAAAATCCCAGCGATCTGTGTCGCGCCATGCACTGGACTTAGCAGCGGGATGATGGAACTGTGTCCTTTTAGTCAACATATGGAGGAAATTTAACATCTTACTTTTGTCAGAGAAAAATTCTTGCAACCACTAAAACAGTCAACTAACTTATCCACGAGATTGCCGTGATGTGTGTATCGTTCCGGATAGTCCCGGTTACATCATAATGAGCGGGCCATTTAATAGCTACGATAGTGCGTGCAGCTGCATGACATTAGCACGCTGACCTGAAGTTCTGTGGTTTGAATGCGTATAGAGTAGGATTTGTTTTAGCCGACTCGGCTCGTCGGTTTGAACAGTTTAAATTATCACTTTGCTTGCTAAGTGTAGAAAGGAACAAGTTTCACGTCAATTTCGTAACAGATCTATATTTCCTATAGTTGAGGCTGTCAAAAGAAGATAAAGCTCTAGTGGTGGTGATAGTAGCAGTAGTGTTTATATCAGCAGTAACGAAAACAATTAAAATTAGAAGTAGGGAAACAAATAACAGTACAAACCAGTTATCAGTAGAGATTATTCGTCCACAATTGTTTCGGCCCCTAAACAATCTCGGAAGGTGAGCCGAACTGGGTCATGTAGCGAGGCCCCGATTTTTCTCTGCTGTACTTCATCGGACTCGATAGGGACAAGACGATAAAGTGACTTTGCAAGAGTGCTGTGAGATTGGTGTTTTATTAATGCAGCGGTAGTAAATTAGATCACTTACTACCTTCACTACCAGGGTGACAAGCTAACGGCTGGTTCATCAGACGATTGTTAGACTTTGGAATTTGGCAGAGAGACACCTGCAAACATTTGTCAGACACTTTGGCTTTTATGGGGTAAGACATTTTTTTTTTTTTCCGCTAGGGACTCGGACTAGTCTACCGAGGCTCATCCCCCTCGACGTTTTGTTGCGTCCAGAGCCAGCTCGAAGCTCTTTTAGCAGCTTCGTCCATTTGTTTCAGTAACCGTTTACGCTCGTTTCCTCGCAAGCCCAGCTCTTTAGCACATTGTAAGCGGATGTAGAGATAAGACCTCTCGTGTCTGCCTCGACGGAGCAGATTTTTACTGCATAGGCTTCGTCTCTCCTCAAACCGGCCATGAGCTCACCGTATTTTTCGAGCTGTACTGGTGATTTTCTTCCATCCGTGACTCGTATGGCACAGACAGATTTATCAGGATGAGCTGCCGTTTTTCCGTAAAGTGCAGAACTATCTATGGCCTTAGGCCGGTCTACGGATAGACTCTGGGTACATCTCGAAACCAGGCAGGTCGATATCATTATTAAAGTAGAAGTGAAGGTTGAGTTAGAAATAGCAGTAACAAAGCTGCTAGTGGTGGCAAAGGTAGTGATAGTAGTAGTAATAGTAACAGTAATAACAGTAGCAGTAGTATTTTTTGCGCTGGTAGTGGTGGCAATTCAAAGCAGCGGTAGTAGTAGTAGCAGCATAGACAGAAGTAGTAGCATCATTAGTGGAAGTGGAAGCGAAAGACAAATAAAAAAAAAAAAACAGTAGTGAGAAACAAGAAAAAGAAATAGGACGGAAGAAGACGATACATACTGAAACAAGTGAGATATACTCAAATAATCTGATACATACTGAAACAAGCTGATACATACTGATACATACTGAAACAAGCTGATACATACTGAAACAAGCTGATACATACTTAAATAAGCTGATACATACTGAAATAATCTGATACATACTGAAATAAGCTGATACATACTGAAACAAGGTGATTTGTACTGAAATAAGCTGATGCATACTGAAACAAGCTAAGCTAATACATACTGAAATAAGCTGATACATACCGAAACAAGCTGATGCGTGCTGAAATAATCTGATAAATACTGATACAAGCTGATACATACTGAAATAAGCTAATGCATACTGGAACAAGCTGATGCATGGAAACAAGCTGATGCATACAGAAACAATCTGATACATACTGAAACAAGCTGATATGTACTGAAATAAGCTGATGCAGACTGAAATAAGCTGATTCATATTGAAGCAAGCTGGTGCATGCTGAAACAAGCTGATATGTACTGAAACAAGCTGATGCATACTGAAACAAGCTGATACATACCGAAGCAAGCTGATGCATGCTGAAACAAGCTGATGCATGCTGAAACAAGCTGATGCATGGAAACAAGCTGATGCATGCTGAAACAAGCTGATGCGTGCTGAAACAAGCTGATGCGTGCTGAAACAAGCTGATGCATGCTGAAACAAGCTGATGCATGCTGAAACAAGCTGATGCGTGCTGAAACAAGCTGATGCATGCTGAAATAAGCTGATGCATGGAAACAAGCTGATGCATGCTGAAACAAGCTGATGCGTGCTGAAACAAGCTGATGCGTGCTGAAACAAGCTGATGCATGCTGAAACAAGCTGATGCATGCTGAAACAAGCTGATGCGTGCTGAAACAAGCTGATGCATGCTGAAACAAGCTGATGCATGGAAACAAGCTGATGCATGCTGAAACAAGCTGTTAAAACCCGAATCTTACCAGTTGGCGTCAGTCCATTCCGTCAGCCTGATTTGCGTGCCCTTAACTTTTGCATGGGAAAAGACTATATGCGTGCACAAGAACGGGTCAATATTGGTTGCTCGAAAAGTAGCTATTCCATTTCGGTACTGGGACAAGCTTGAAAAATAACAGACGATACGGAAGCCATCTGCAGAAATAATATGTATCAAAAGTATATCAATACACTGTGAGTTTAATTTGTTTCGTTATAGCGCACCACTATTAAAATATGTATTTGCAAGGTTGTATTGGTATAAAAAGCTGAAACATAGAGAACTACCAAACCCCCATTTCATGATTGTTTAGTATTTACATTTTTATGCAGAAATATAAATTTTTTTTTAAAGTATCCAGAAGATATGAGGCTCCCTTAGGCTCCGTATTATGGATATCGCAAACATTTGGCCTTGGTTCCATGATAGATACCGTAAATCTAGAAGAAATGTGGTTTTTCTGCCTACCCCCGGGCGTGAACCCGGACCACAAGAAATTCGTCACCCTCTCGCCGCGAAGTCATGTTTAGCCAACTGCGCTAGCGAGTCAGGCAGCAAGATGGATACAAATTGGGAACATAAATAGATATATGTATAAGCATATACGCATCAGAAGGCGCTTTTTCAGCGGCAAGATATATGTCAAAGATAAAAGAAATTACACTTAATAGATCTTTTTCTTCTTTGTCGTCACACACTTAGCAGGCTGTAGCACAGTTTCTTCATGTGTTTATGTATTTGTCTTCCGTGTCTTGACTACTGGATTTTATGGACGCTTTCAGCACATGAAACTTCACGTTAAATTAGGACCGGTGACGTTAGAGAGTGAGGGAGTGACTTTCAACCCCGTTAAGGACAGCACAACGAGCTATAAACACAACGTGCCATCATTCGGCTTAGAAACACCCAGGCAAAAGCCCAAGAAACCCTGTTCAACCTCTGGGTTATTTTAAGAGCCCCGATAACAGCCGGGATGGGGGCTGTAAAATAAAAGTAAAGGACCATTTTTCACGCCTTTAGGCTATAGGGCATATAGGGCTAGACCTACATCTTATAGACCAAACAGCACAAGATGGGTGATGTGGTCAGCATCACTCCGGCAGCCTTTACTTTCCGGGACTGCACCCAGTACCCATTCAAGGCTGGGTCGACCTGGGATTCAAGGCCATTTAAAAAAAAAAGTCTGGCTCCTGCCAGGGAGTGAACCTACGTCCTTCCATTCCGGATGGAAGCGTCTAGCCGCTACGCCACGGCGACTCTCTTTAAAAAAAAAACAGAATAAAAAATGTGTCCCATATTGGGATTTGACATAATTCATAACGGTACATGTCCGGAGTGCAATGATGATAACCCAACTAACTAACTAACTAACTAACTAACTAACTAACTAACTAACTAACTAACTAACTAACTAACTAACTAACTAACTAACTAACTAACTAACTAACTAACTAACTAACTAACTAACTAACTAACTAACTAACTAAGCTAAACTAAACTAGCTAACTAAACTAAACTAACCAACTAACTAATCAACTAACCAACTAGCTAGCTAACTAACTAACTAACTAGCTAACTAACTAACTAACTAACTAATTAACTAACTAACTAACTAGCTAACTTACTAACTAACTAATTCGTAACGGTAAGCAGAAACATTCAGATCGACTACAAGAGTATCAAACAAAGAATGCCTGACTGCAGTTAATTTATACATTTTACTTTTATAGTGATAACTCCTCCTAAACGGCGACCACTGACTAGTTAAATTGTCAGCTGACATTATTCTCGCAATGTTAAATTTAACAGTGATATTGGCGCCATGTACCATGAATGTACTTTACTTAGCATCACAATCCAAAAAGTAAACTGTCGATGGAGTTTTTATCCCTTTGACTAAATATATTTATATACATAGTTTGACTTTGCACGTATTGTTCACTTCCTGGATTAAGAGGTCCTTCTCAGTCAGTACATTGGAATTATAATATGCGCTATAGTAATTGCTGACTTTAAAACGACTTCTGTTACTCGAGCTCTATTGTTTCCGTCCTTTATACATCACAAGGGCAATGTCAGTCACATGCTTTTATTCCACAAACGAGCATGCTATTTTCTTCTATTAAAGAAAATTATAATAATAAAATGGACGTTAGAAGCTATGTATGTATAAAATAATTTTAAATAATTTTAAAAAATTGAATATTTAGCAAATGCCATAGTAATTCTGTGCGAGCTTCGCATTTCAATGTCTGTTACAGGCTTCTCACACCAGAAGGTGTTGTAGAATTTATTAAAGTTACAAATTTTTAGATTTTAATTGGTATGATTGCATTACCTCTGACTCTAATACATATGTATATAAGTGAGCTAACAATGTATGTGTATCATTAGTATGTTTTTGCTGTAAAGATAACGAAAGTATGATGTTACGTGTCTTCTAGTTGAACGGTTTTCTTTAACTCTAAAAGATACTGTTTTACAGTATGGTCTGATATTATACAGGTATTTGGTTATGTATGAAATTTATTTCAGAGTATTTCTGGATTTACTTTAACTCCACAGCGTATTCAGGTAAGAATGCTAAAATAGTATGATGTTTATTGAATTTAAATTACTGTAGCGTTTTAAATGAGTTTGTTGTTGCTAAGAATGCAAGAGTATAGCCTAAATCTGCCAGATTACATGAGTCGGGAAATGCTGCGAGAATTGCGATTAACTAATTTTTATGATTATTTTCGTGTCGCAGCAGGAGTCACAATTAAACCAGATCAACGGGCTATTTTTATCAAGAAGTTTTGCGGCGCTTTAAGACGAGTGAAAATGTAGAGGGTAATTTTTATCGATGCACAAGTGTCGTGAAATGATAGCCATTACGCATCGGTCTGTAAGGCTGATAACCTGTCTTACCTGTAATCTGCACAAAATTCAAACTTGGACTCGCCCGGAAAGATATAGTCAATTATATCTATATATATAGGCCTTTATTAGACAACATTATTATGTCTACCTTTTCTGGTTACTTTAACTAAACTCCACTTTTAAATGTATATATCTTGGATATATATTAAGGGAGTTATTTGAGGTTTCGTGGAAACCGATTTACTCCTTGCTCATGTATACTAGGGACTTCTTTTTGTACCAACGCCTGAAGTGTCTAAGTGACGCTATTCTCTTTGCCAGCTTCCTAGCGTCCAGATGTGTCAATCTATGCCTGTATTATTTCATTTTTCAAGGCGATCTGGAATGTCTCAGTTTTTACATATGCTTGGGTAAGTTAATTATAGTTTACGAGTACCTAAAATGATGTCTGTAAAGTAGTCACTGCTGTAGAGAGATCAGTATCGGCTGTGTGATCACACTTAGTTCGACCGTTCTTGATCGCTAGAGAAGCGGATTCGAACGTAGACCTTCCCCTGTACAGACTAAATAGCTTATGCCCTCAATAAACCACCCATACTGGTAAAACTTAAAACTTTTACAATTGTGTACGTTTCAAACTAACTATAGAAGTTGTGCATACCAAATGGGGACAGAATTAGGTCAAGACTTTGTTAACCAGAGTATGTGTGTGTTTGACCCAGATCAATGAATGCTAAAGCGAGCGTTGGGAAATCTAAGGAATGCAGGTACTGACAGTAAATATTGGTGTCTGTGTGCAGAGGGAGGGGGATAGGGAGAGTGATATATGTGTTAGAACACTTTATCTATCTCCACTGTATATCTGACTTGCTTTCTCTTGCACTAAACAGACAGATGAATATAGGAGACTTATGTCTCTTGGTCTGGAGAGGCAATCTGAGGAATGCAACAGGAGAGCAGGGGGGAGTCAGCAGATGGGGGGTGATGACTGATGCTTGTTCTGTCTTTCCTGTCAAGATGTTACCCTCTTGGTGATGACTAATTTTGAGTTATTTTCTTGACAGGATGTATCTTTTGTGAGGAGCTGGCAGAAGTTTCACAGTCCAACCAACACCCATCAATCAATCAAACAACCCTAAACTAACTGTACTCACCAGCTAACACCTGTGAAGGTTCCTGACATCTCCAACATGTGGGAGATGGTACCTCAAACAGCCTACCAGTGCTAGAGCTTAGGGTAGCTCAAAAACAATGTGTATTCTACTTGGTGATAGAGACTTGCTAAGTACCAGTGCAGTATTGTGTCCTCTATGGTGAGGTACTCTCTGACTATTTGATCCAGTGGAGCAGAATTCCCAGAGTCAAAGACAGTCGAATCATCCTGAGCTGAAGGAGGCATCATAGACAGAAAGGACAGAAGCTAAGTCTGATGCTTCATGTGCTGTTTTTTTCCTCACAGCTCATTTGTTTCCAATGATGACATATAGTCACCTCCAGGACCGGCTGTCTGTATAGTTTCCTTGGGATCTAGACATTAGTTGCTGAGATTCTTTCACTGATAGCTGGAATTCACTTCAATAGTATATGTACATACATTATACTAAATACACGCATTCATTTTCATGGCTGACTTAGGTTTCTCTATGTCACCTTTTTAAGTGTTTAGCAGTTGTATGTGTATGTATCTTCATTATATGTGTTAACATGGTTATGATAATGACTTATCATAACCTGGGGGCTTTCTTTAGTAAGTAGTGGGGGTGTCCAGCCAAGTGTGCCTAGAAATATTGTATTCATATACTGATATATTTTGTAGTGCCAATACTTGAGTTGCCCTACTCCAGAGATAAGTTGAGCGTATATTGGCCACGGGGAATCCCTTAGACCAATACGAGCCAAACGACTCAACATAATTATCTCTGAGTGCTGTTGGTTCTGAAGGAGAAATCCTTACATTAGGCACGCGACAGGAGTGATATGTGACAACAAGGCTGAATTGGAAAGACCTTCCTCGTTAATGTTTAGCTTGCCAGAATTGGAGTAGGATAGAATATTGCACTCGATTCAGGTATTGTATAACTTAAATGGCCTCGTGTCAGTGATAACAAGGTTAGGAAAATAGAAAGGAAGAGAACGTCAACTCGACATCGTGGTTAAGATATGAAACACGATAACGTCTCTGACTGATAAACAGATCATATACTAACCATAGAGTAAAAGGCCGACTTTAAAATAAAAATGTTTGTTCAAAGCATCTTTCACTGTTAAAATAATGTGAGCGCAAACAAAACATTGTACAATTTATTGCCTGGCATTCTTGTCTTTTTCTCGTCCAGTGCATTACTACAGAGTTAATTCAGCATATTAAGAAGCACACTATTGAGCCTTTTTCGCTGACATACATACATCTCATTGTCATATCAGGTTGTACATCGCTCCACGGGAAATTCAAGATAAGCAGTGAATTTATTGAAACATTATTTGAATTTGCAACGTAAAAACTTTGCTTAAACTGTTTTGTTGTGAAAGGTAAAATACATTGAAAACCATCTGAACTTTTTTCTGCAGTGGGCAATGTAAAGTAATGAATGATTCTTCCATACAATTATCCTCATTTTGTACGAGACAAATCTTTTAAGGACAACCTACTCTCGATGGGTGAATAAGTCAGCATCACGTACACCGCCTTTATATCCTGTGATATTTCTATGTACCCTTTTCAGGTTGGGTCGACTTGGAAGCCCAAGTAATTTTATAAAACCTGCCAATATGGACTTAAACCCACAACCTTCCTGTCGGCTATACAACGTCTATCTGCTCTGCTTCCTACTTATGTTAATGTATAAGCTATACAACGCCTGAGCTTTACTATGATGCGGCTTATCACCTGCATTTATGAAATAGATTTTTGAAGACATGAATGAACGTTGTAATGTGCACTTACCTGAGTAGGCGGGTCCACTAGAGAGAACCAGAATCCAAAGAATCAGAGCGGACTTCCTAAGAAGTGTTGGATAATATTTAAAGTTTTGACTACTAACATATCAACCACTTACAGACGAAACAAAAAGGATTATGATCCTCCAAACCACCCCCTCCACCCTCTCCCAATACACACACACACACACATTTCCATCCCTTACTGAGGTTCGAAAAAAATGGCTAGGGCGATCATACGTCACCTTTTCTAGGGGATAGTCCCGTATTTTAGGTGTGCCACGGTCGTCAGTAGGTTCTTAATAGAAAGGAGGAATAAAACGCAAAATTTCCCGTTTTATAACAGTCTTGGAATAAGCTTGAGAATAACACACACACACCTATAGTTATATATGTAGACCTTATCACATTTCACAGTTGACCTAATGTTTTTAATGTTTTGATATTATTTTCAGTGAAGCATTTTTTTCAGTGCATTTAAAGAGGATTTTGTTTCGTCTATTTATTAGTGACAATCTTTCGCATTTTAATACCATTGTCAGCGAGTAATTAACCCTCACCCCGGTGACCTAGAGAAAAAAATGGGATATATTTGATTTGCTCGGAATGTCCCGTTTTCACATGAAAATATTAGTGGGTGTACCGTTTTCCGTCTAAGATATTATGGTCACCCTAATAAAATCCAACTTATATACATACATACATGCACACATATATACATAATAGCTCCTACTGTAGTAATTTTTCAGAATACATGTACACCCCATTGCATTGTCATCCACAAAGCGAGTGTGAACAATATGTGAGTTCGATAGCTTTTAAAGAAAACTGGGTTAAAAAAATGGAAAACACAGTCTGTCCAACATTTAAATAATACGTCATGCTCCACTAAACTACAAGCCCACATCGTGCCCAGAGTAACGAAATATACTATAAGTATTCTCTGTTTTAAAACCATAACGTGTATATATTCAGTCTGGTCAGAAATCATTCCTGTCTGAGTTCATAGTCATGTAAGTCACGAGCACCCACTCCTTGTCAATGATGCATACGCAGCAGAGGGAGTGTAAGTAAAGTTTCTTGAAGTCCCACGAGGACAACTGACTGACAGAAGCCACATCGGCACAGCTTGGACACTGTTATGTGTATGTAAGTTGCAATGACTCGTGCACCTATAAGGCGGGTGACAGGAGTTGTGTTAGTGTGCAGATATCTTATAGGGCACGTTTTGGACCTCTCCGAGTGCAATGATGTCCATTTTGAGACACCCCATGTGTTATATAATGACATACATTGGCATCCCTACATCAGTGCGTCTACCAATTGTGACGGATGAGCAGCAGCATTGCCAAAGCAAATCATGAAGTGACCAGTGTACATGAGAGCAGGATCTGCACTGAGAGCAAGATGCTCAGTCGTCATCACCTCAGTATATGGGTACTAAGTGTGTGGACTGGTTTTTCAGAAACATTGTGCTTGTTTCGGAAACTGAGACATTGTGTCCCACCATAAAATGTTATCTGAAAATCACAAAGAAGAGGCGTTTGGGAACCAAGGTCCTATGTACACACTCTTCTACTATCTTGGAAACTACTAATACTATACATACATAAAGAAAGAAATTAATTATGTATATACTTTTTTAGTATCTTGGACACTGTACAGTACATACATAAATAAAGACAATTTTCCCACTATCCTGTCATAAAGTAAGTTTATATCAGGACAATTTATGACAAAAATATTTGAAATTTTTGTATTAACTATAATGATTTTTTCCTTCTGACAAATGTATTTTAGTCACTGGCTGAATAAAGTATTGGACTTAAAAAATTGACCTTAAGAAACAACAACTGTCGTAATATGTTTGCCACACTGCATTGCCTCCACGAAGCATATGTATGCAAAATGTCAGCATCATCACTTATCAGGAAATAGTATAAGAATCGAACTCAAACAGTTGCCTAGACATACTTGTTGAACATTTTGTAAAAAAGAAGCTTATAATAACCAAAATAGGCGAATTTCTAATCACTTAGCTCCTGACACTGTCGGTATGGAAACAGTTGGTTGGCTACGCAGGGTCGGGACACATGTGAGGATGCCTCGTCTGTAGTGAGGTAAGTTCTTGATTAAATAATTTATTCATTTGATCACGTGTATCACGTGCTAGTTTGAGAACTAATACAAAGGTAACTCAAATTGTTAATCAACATCACTTTACTATTAATGAATTCTACTTACAGGATGTACATATTTAATGTTGTATTCATTTTATATATACAGCCGCATTGCTTTGCGAATATTGTTCTATGTTATTAGTTAGTTAATTTCATTCCTCATTAGCAAGTAGATGGTAAAAGTATATAAGTCCAGAGGTTAACCGATGTGTACTTCTTGTTGGATATCTCCTGCCATTAACGGGTAGTGAAATCAAAAGCGTTTACTCACAATATGATGACGCAACACGAAGGTTTGAATGTGCGAAAGTACTATGTAGAGAAAGCAGATACTTATCAGACGCTCAAAATGGCTGCAACTGTCTTTAAAAACAATTACCGATGAAAGGAAATTCTACACAAAGAAGAGGCAAAAACGAAGGAGACGACAGGAAGAACAAAGCAATGGTGAACAAAAACAAGAAGAAGAAGACCAGGACGAAGAAGACGACGAAAGCGAAGATGACAGAAAAAAAAGGACGACTGACACGAAATAGAAAACGTAGGAGAAGAAGACGATGGGGACGAAGAGACGATAGAGACAAAATAGCAATCAGAGACGAAAGATTGATCGCAATCTGTATTTCAAAGACCTCGCCGGCCAATTTATAACAAAGGCACGTAAAGGCTTATCAGCAATGAGGGTCCTGGCCCCCGGCAACATCCAGCAAAGACTGTTTCTGCTACTGTTCTAAAGACTGGTTCTTTCTCCTATCAAATATACTGTAGCAATACTTACCGTCAGCGATACTCAGACTGAAAGAGTGAAAAATGTGCAAAATGAAGCCATGTGCATTATTCTGGGGTGCACAAAAGACACCTGTTGTGTGTCAATGAGATATTTTCTTGACTTTCCGATAACGCAGCAATGGATGACGATTGGGAGGACTCGTGTATACCTTAACATAAACTCGAGTTGGAGCACCCTTTGCACAATGTTCTCTTTAGGGAACAGGGCAACGGGCTAGAAAGGGGCAAATCATGGCTCGGTAGGGCAGAGGACGATATCATACAGGTCTGCAGTCTTACAAACATCAACCTTGGCGAAGAATGGATACCTGTACCTCGGTGCTCAACTACACCTTTTCCTGTGTTCTTACGCTTGATAGGAGTTGTCAAGAGCAGAATCTAGTTGCTGTCGGTGCAAAGGTCTACTCGCTTATATATGAAAATTCAGATGAGGCAGATGTACAGATCTACACATGGGTTCGTTGTACGAGGACACAAAAGTGCATAGGCATTTACTGTGTGCTCTGCAGGCAAAGCAGTCAAGGAGGCCAGTGGTGCCTTCTTCTAGCAGCATGAAAATGGAGGTAATATCACGTGGCTAGCAACGCAGGGCTATTCTCACGTGTGTGTGAATCAGAATCAGAAGCTCAACAAATCATTCATGACAATTCCGGCCCAATTGATGCGATTATCTATACAGATGGCTCTGTGTTGAGGGGCAGACGAAGAGCATGGGGGTTTATAGCAGGCAAATGGACGTCGCTTAGTGCAAAAAAGACTAGCATATGATATTACAATGTCTAGTTTAAGAATGGAGGTGGAGGAAGTCAGTAAGTGCCCTCCGCTGGCTTGAAAATCAGCTGTACACAAAGGCTGTGATTGTAACTGACTCACAGAGCTTGATGAGAAAGGTGGAGATAGGTATGCTCTGGGAATGGAGCACTTATGGGGGTGTCCCAAGTGCTGTGTTGTCCATTCTTAATTCAACATTTAATATTCATTCAACATTCACGTCTGTGTGCTGAATGATTCCATGAGCATGATCAGGCGGGTCGAGGCTGTTTTGTACGCAAACAGTTAATCGAGTCATTGCAAAACTCTACTGTGCGTGGAGGTAACTACATCTTTGTCCCAGTGTATGTGCGTGTTGTTGGTAATGAAAGAGCCAACAGATAAGCCGGCTCTGCCTTAGTTATGTTTATGGATCATACAGACACTGTTAATACCATTAAAGGGGGGGGGGGGGACGATCCAATGATTATGGGAGCAGCACATCCCCATCGTTGATAAGAGCACAAGAATTAGGAGTAAAGATCGACACAGCCAGGCACAAGAAGCACGACAGACACACGAGAAGTCTTGTTAACCAACATAGGTCTGGGACTGTCAACCGCGGGACGCTGATGTTTGTGTTGAAGGGGTAATCTGAGTATCTACGGACATGTCCGGAGTGCCGTGTAGATAAACTAAATCATAAATCACATCTCAGAGACCAAAGAGAAGGCTGAGACTAAAAAGAAGTGTAACAAATAACGTCATCATGTCCTGTGCGAAACTCTTTGATCAAACCTCATCAAATCAGTTAGCAGAACCCTTACAGGTGGTATATCCACATTCGCGGAGGTCTGCCCCTGCGTCATGTTGCGGAAACCGTAACCTCAATCGCAGTTTTATCCAGCCCATCATGAGGTTCAACATGGCCTAAATACATAAGCTTTCAGGACATAATGCTGTTTATGAGCCAGTTCTACTCGATATTTAGATCATGTAGGTCAGTAACTTTCGTCTTATTAGTCATGATATTCAAAGAATGTGTATGTAGCGTATCAGTTCAATTGCATTGGTTTTTAATTAATATGTTTGAGGTTTTGATCAACATCATGGCACACGGGTGTAATTCATAAATGCTCCGTTCTTCTTCTAACTCAAGTCTGAGTTCGAAGCAGCTCAGCACAGTGCACAGGCTCTGTAGCAAAGGCGAGGATCCTGGAATACTTGGGTATATTTTTGACTTTAAACTTTGCCCGGGCTGCGCAGTTATTCTACTCTTTCGACTTCCAACTGCCAAGGATTTTTTACATGCGTAACAATGTATACGGCGTCCGGTCACACTACCCAGAGACCAGGGGAAATTACTAAAAGTCCAAGTCCACGTGAAAAAAATTCCCAGCCATTACCTGGGATTGGACCCGGAACCTCTTGCACTCAAGGCTGATACCATGCCTCGAGACCACGCAACCCCCTAGTATAAGTAGTGGGAAATCGATGACGATAAGTTAACATTAGGTGAATGCTGAGCAATGTTTAGTAAATGGTAATCTTTTATGTGTTCATCATTGCTATTAAATAATTATCTCAAAGTCATACACATCATTATCTATCTAATCCAGGGTTTCCCAATTTTAATTTTCTCCATCGCGCCATTTTCATCAAAAAAATCGCCCAGCGCCCCCCTCTGCTTGGAAATTTCCTCATGTTACACGCAGAAAAGCATACGAGGGCATCTTTCAATACCCTACACTAGTCTATTCTTTGCCTTGAAATATACCTTCTATAATCAAATTAAAAGAATAATATAATGGCAGTTTTGTTTTGTATTGTCTGTTGTTTTTTCCCTCTACTAACCGAATGATTGGTCTGCATTGTTGGTAGTGCTCTCTTTGGTTCAGGTCAAGAGTGCCCTTGGCGTTTTCAAGCTCTGAGACAAATGGGCGGCACAATGTTTCCTGTAGGCTTCGTAAGCTCCGATTTTTCATTTCTAGGGATCCACTGTAGGCTGAATATCACTGCTTGACTAGTTCTGTTCTTGTGGGCATCAATTTGATGCTGTCTTGGACTGATTTTAGTATGCAAATAAAAAAGTTTTTTTTTAAAGTTAAACTGGAGTATTTGGAGTCTGTTCAGTTCAAATGTAGATCTTGCCTATGCTCTGAGGTTGGTGCCAGCTTCCCATGCCTATTATGAGTGAATATATGTCTTGCAATTTGTTGTGAAATGAAGATTCGCACGCCTCCTGCTTTAGGCTTTTTTACGAAAACCGTCTGTTGGCATTCGCGTGCAAAAATTGAAGTGGTACTTATTTCTCAGTATGTAAAGTCTGAAAGCTTTTTGTTCTGACTGTTCTTTATTGAGGATTACTTCTTGCTCTTTCAGAACTGGACTGGATGAGAATGGACAGTCAACCCATATGTCTGGTAGGAGACATTAACACATTATTGTCAACAGTCGGACGGACAGAACATTGATCCTTTGATCCGTCAGATTCTTCAGAATGCTCTGTTCCAGACGTACTGGTGTCACCTTTCCTTTTGAGTAACAAGGCGGGCCGAACGAGGGATCATGCTACATGAGCAAATACCTGGTCTTTACAATAATGCCTTGGTTTTGTGCTCTTGGAGATTATGAATGTCTTCCTTGCCCCCAAGTGGTTGGGATTCATACGCCTCTCTATAACAGAATATAGCACTATAGTTATTAAGACAAAACGGTAAATGAAGCTTTCGGATCCCAATTCTTTGCCTGATTCCCTGGTTTTACTACCGCCTTTTGAAACAGAGAGGATATTGTTGTGGTATTTTCATTGGCGTCTGAACAGAAAATTCATGGACGAACATTTTTCTATGTGGCTATCGTGCATGTAGGCTATTCCAAACTTGCTACAAAGTTGTGCCCATAAACTTTAACAAATGTATCGAAAGCTCCTGCGTGAGTGAATATGTAGTTTTTTTTTTTTTTTTTGTTGTTTTAGATTTCCCAAATCCTTAGGATTTTATTATTTACATTTGTATAGGTGCTACTGTTTTCTTAAAGCAACGATGTTTTTATTTTCCCCCTCTTTGCTTGACTGATAATTGGTGTATCCCTAAAAAAAAAAGAAATACACAGTAATTGACATACACGTCGAGACTGGAAAATAATTACCATATACAGCGATATGTGGTGATTGTTTTGATTGCCTATCCGACATACAATGACAAATAGGTGTTCATTTAATCTCACGGGAGACTAATGCTGGAGATTACCATATAGGAGGGAAATATCTATGAAACACGTGCAATCTTATGTTTATACAAGTTCCGGTTACTCAGTTAACAGTCAGCATGCTGACTGACTGCTTGGAATCGGTGTCTGGTTTTTTTTTGTATGTAACCTACCCCCAAACAAGAGGTACAATGAAAACTAGATGTTTGTTTACATTTGTTTTTTTTTTAAAAAGGACATGATTATAAACAGCTTGCATGCCAGTTTTCACCTAACGATTACAGACTTATAGATCTTTAAAGTTGAGCTAGGCATCTGGAAGAGACATTAATGACAAAATTTAG